GGTGGGGTGCCGATGGCGGCCGCTGGCTGTACCTGGGGGGGCGCGTCCTCCCTCCGGAGGCTGACGGCCACTCCCACGGTGGGCTGCAGGTCGGGGGGCAGCGCGGGCAGCTGGACGCGCTTCGGCGGCCGCAGCACGAAGGCGCCCTCCACTGTGGCCGCCCTGCTGTCCAGGTCCACGGGCAGAGCGGCCAGAGCCGAGAGAGAGACCTCCGTGCTGCCCAGAGACCGGCTGCCACAGCACAGGTGGACCTGCAGGGGGGGGACACCACGAGGGGGGAGGAGGGTCAAACAGGAGCTGCCTGCTGATGTGCACTTTACAATTACTTTTATAATATAATCTAACCTATTAGATATAATATATATACATATATATAATATTATAGACATCATATATAATAAAAAATAGATATGATTGATTCTTATTGGTTTGTTAAAGGAAACTTTAGCAAATTCATGATTCACTTTAAGTTTTTATGGCATAAACTACTTGTGAAAACATAATTTTAGGGCGTTCCCATACTGGTAAGTTCTTTAATTAATGTCCACTTGACAAATGGTGCCTGTTAAAAGGTAAAGAGTCAGTTTGCAGCTAAAAAACGAGTCAGATCCTGATGGTGGTCGGATTTAGGTGCTCAGGCAGAACTTTGGGTTTTTTCCTTTAGTTCCCAAACCTATGCATGCATGCATAGATAGCTAAATAAATAGGTAACTAGCTAGCTAGCTAGATAAAATACTGGAATTTAACTAGCTGGCTAGATAGATTTTATTATGCTTTTATTGTTTTTTCTGGCTCAACATTTCACTCAAATTTTAATGCGGCTTATTTTAGCCATTTTTAAATTACTAAAATGAACTCTTTTCTACTCCTGAACTTCAATAAATGCTTTAATGTTTAAACCCTTATTACATTCTAGTCTAATAGTGGATGTTATTTAATCAGATATTTTATTTCATCTATTTAATGTATCTATTATTTGGTTTCAATATTCTATTCAAAATTTGATTCCATCTTAATTGAATCCTTTTTATCATGTTTGTTTTATTCAAACTTGTCTTCAAACCTCCAGAAAACCTCATTTAAATTCCAGAAGGTATTTTATTTAAAATTCCAGAAAATCTTATATTTAATTAGATCCGATCGACTTTTGGGGGGGGGTTAAAAACAGCATTTTTTGTGGTTTGTTTTTCATGTTTTTTTATATGAAACGGGTAGACTGCTGGCTAATCCTGGGGTTCTTTTCCTGGCTCTCTGGTTCTGGTTCTGGTGTTACCTGCAGGCTGGGCTGCTGGGACAGGAAGGCCAGCAGGATCTGCTTGCTGCTGCGGATGCGTACGGAGGCGCGCTCCGGCTGGAAGTCTGGGCTCAGCAGGCTGCCGAACGGCTCGCTGGTGATGTCGTTCCCCAGCAGAGAGTAGTAGAAGAAGAAGCCCGAGTCCTCCGCCGACAGCCTGGAGGTGCCGGGGACCAGCTGGGGGGGCAGAGCGGCAGCGTTTGGCCTTCAGAGTCCAGTTTCAGCGTTTAGGGGCTGCAGGGTCCTGGTTCTGAGTCCAGCTGGACTCAAAAGGCCTTGGTTCTGAGTCCAGCTGGAACCCAGCGGGTCGGTTCTGAGTCCAGCTGGACCCAAAAGGACTCCCGGTTTCATATGGGCCCAGTGGTTTGGTTTTGAGTCCATCTGGGCCCAGCGGGTCAGTTCTGGGCCCAGTGGTTTGGTTCTGTGTGGGCTCACCTGCTCCAGCCGGGTGGCGAAGGCCACGGTGACGGACAGCAGGAACATGTCGGAGCCGAGCTCGGCCGGGCCCACCTGGTGGAAGCCCTGATCCGGGACCAGGACCGCCTCCAGCTGCTCCGGGAGGAGCTCCGACACCGAGGAGGCGCCTGGAGGAGGAGCAGAGACACATCTGGACCCGGGAGACCACCGCAGAACCCCAACGGGGGGCCAAAGCCGAGGGGGGCCCAACAAAGAATGGGGGGGCTCAACCAGAGGCCAGGGGGGTCTAAACCCAATAAGGGGTCCTAACCAGAGGCTAGGGGGTCCAACCAGAAGCCAAGGGCCCCAACCCAAGACCAGCCAGATACCAGGGGTCTAAACCCAATGAGGGGCTCCCAACCAGAAACCAGGGTTCCCAACCAGAGGCCAGTTGGTCTAAACCAGAGGCCAGGGGCTCTAAACCCAATGAGGGGCCCCAACTACAGGCCAGGGGGCTCAACCAGAAACTAGGTGAACCAACTAGAGACCAGGGGAGCCAACCAGGGGCCAGGGAGGTCTAAACCCAATAAGGGGTCCTAACCAGAGGCCAGGGGGGTCTAAACCCGATGAAGGGTCCCAACTGGGGCCTGGAACGGTGAGCGAGTCCAGCTCTTTCTCCGGTTCTACCCGGGCCGAACAGACCCCCCCGCCGTCTGAACGAGGGGCCGGTTCTGACCCCGCGGCGTGCGGCGTGCTCCTCACCTTGTCGGGGCGGCGCCTCCTTGGCTCTGAACCTATCGGGCGGCGGCGGCGGGGGCTTGGCGTCGCCCTCCAGAGCCAGGCCCAGCAGCAGGGCGGGCCTCTGCTTGGTGTACCGGCTGCTCAGCAGGGGGTACCAGCGGGGCTCCTGACACACACAGACCGGGTCACAACGCGGCCCCACGCCGCCGGGGGGGGGGGGATGGGCGGGGGGGGGGGGGGGGGGGGCCCACCTGTTTGACCTCCTGGACCGACCGGAGGTCCAGCACGATGTAGCCCACGCCGTCCCGCTTCCGGCTGACGGCGTCCACGGCGAAACACTGGAGCTTGATGGGAGTCCTCTGGAGCCTGAGGGGGGGGCACCAAGGTTAGCTGGCGTCTGGG